ATTAAAACCTAACCTTATTTAATATAATTACACCACAATTTATATTGTAATATTTTATTTAAATCTAACTTTTCTTTTATTTGTAAATTTTAAAAAAAAATTATCAAAAGCTACAATAATTTTATGTATAAAGTCAAAAATCTTATTTTAGAGTTTTATAAATGTTTTTTCATAAATAATACTTAATATTTAATATAATTATAAACTTATCTATTAAAACCTAACCTTATTTAATATAATTACACCACAATTTATATTGTAATATTTTATTTAAATCAAAAGCTACAATAATTTTATGTATAAAGTCAAAAACCTTATTTTAGAGTTTTATAAATGTTTTTTTCATAAATAATACTTAATGTTTAATATAATTATAAACTTATCTATTAAAACCTAACCTTATTTAATATAATTACACCACAATTTATATTGTAATATTTTATTTAAATCTAACTTTTCTTTTATTTGTAAATTTTACTAAAAAAAGTAAAAACTTATTCTCACCTTATGAGTTACATCCTGTAAAATCCAAAACAACATTTATTATATAAAATCTACAAAACTTAAATTATTACAAAATAGTAAATGTTATCTATTTCAGTAATTATATATAATATAATATTTTTAAAATTTAATTATTAATTAATAAAATTTATCATATGTCATTTATGCTATTTTTAAAAAATAAATAATAAAATATCAAAATAATTTTTAATCATAATTACAATATAATACAATCACAATCACAAGTATAATCATGGCACCAATCCTAACGTACCCTTAATCAATTATTCTATAAGCCTTTTCTCTTAATTTATACATTAACTACTTATATTCTTACTCATTTCAATTGGATTTAGTTATTTCATTTTCTAAATAAGGGTGGTCTAATTTAATTATCTCATTTTCTATTTTAATAACACATTAAATGTTAATATTTTAATTTTACCCTTGTCTCAAAGAAAATATGAAAATGTGTTAGGATTTTTTTGTTTAATTATAAAGGCAAAATGGATAGATAAATTGTAATTATTATAATAAATGAATTTCTCAATTATTGTTAATTGATAAAATATTACAACTATATCGAGGGAGTCATGTATTAAGGTTAATAAATTTTATTTTATCTATCAAGAAGGTCATTGTTTGGCAATTAAATTATCACAAGGCACCATTAGGAACCAATAAATGGTTAAGGGTATGATTTTTTTTGTGAACTTGACAAGCTTTTTATATTGCGATGATATAAGGGTAAATTTTTTTATATTATTTTTTATATAATTTTTACATGTTATTAAATAAGTGAATATATTCAATAACAATGGGTTTCATATAAATTAAAAAAATCAATCATTTAAATAATAAGTTGTATTAAAAAAATAATACAAAAAAATTATTTTAAAATCATTTTCCTTTTTTATATTCTCCAAGGACAGTCAACCTGTTCTTTCCTAAACCCTTAATTTAGGCCTCTTTATTGTCTAATTTTTAAGATCTATGGTTGGAAAGGGGTACATGTGGCCTCACCACTATATTTGGACATTAATTTTTTTTTAAAGTTATTTACAAATAATAAAAGGTTACTTGAACTACATAAAAAAAATTACATGTGTTATTGAGGAAATCAATGTTCTGCTAAGTTATCTCGAAGGGTCGCCTCTTACACCGAAATTATTAAATGAGAGGTAGAGGTCGATATCTAATAATGGTAAAGTTATTGGTTTATATGCAACTGTATAAGGCTCTCTTTAAATTGTTTTGGGTTTTTTTTTTTTTCTCATTTTAGTTTTTTATTTTCAATAATGTTACAAATTCAACACTACATTATATATAATACATATATTATAAAATATAAAATAACATTAAATAAATTCATATATATTATATACATCAAGAATTTTTAAATAAAAAGAGCCAAAAAAATATAAAGTGATAACTTGCAGTAGACGTTATATTTAAAATCATTGTACATCCATCATCTCACTTTTATAAACCAAAAAAAATATCTCACTTTTATTTTAGGTTTTAAATTTTGAATAATCAAAATTAATAGTAAAAAATAAAAATTTAAATTCTAACTAAAAAAAATTTTAATTATCATAAAAACTAATAAATAGTCTAGTTTATGCCATTACGACAATCTTAGAAAGTTACAGCAAACATTAGCAGTTGTTTCTTTTTCTTTCTCTTTCTTCTTTGTGTGTGTGCGCGCATAGCATTAAGGTACTAAATCTCTTTACCATCTATTTCCGCATTTGATTTTTGACATCCCATTCCCTTCTATGGCCATCTTAGAATCATTGAAACCTCTTTCATGAATTTGAATCCACAAAGTAACTGGATTTTCTATCTGCCAGACAACATTACAAAGAAATCAAGAAACAGAGAGCTCACTGCTGGGTTAATCACGAAGAAAGAAGCATTCGAGTCAAGTTCTGATTGAACACATCCAGGACACGTTTTTAAATCACATATCTCTTACAATATTACCAGGGGACCTGCCATTTCTTTTACCCCAATTTCCAAAGATGCGCCAAGATCATAGAGTGAATTTTGGTATTCCACAGAGTTCCTTCGTGTGATTATGACAGTGCTGCTGTTGCCAGATCCTTCCCCTATTCTTCTTCGACTTGATAAAGATGTTTTACAAGTTTCATAGCTAATGAGACATGAGAAACATGACAGATTATTGATTTATCAAGGATTCAAGCAATGAACATGAATGACAACAAGCTCTAGTTGCATAGAACATTTTGCCATTAAAGAACCGAACCAGCTTAGTTTTCCCAAAGAATTGAGTTATGAAAACTTATTACATAAATGTTTATACCAACAAGAATTTAATCAAATTAGTACTAACTAATTTTAAAATCTTTATTTGAAATCAAAATTAAATATTTAAAATTTTATAATGTCAAATAACTAATCTTTTAATGTTTAAAAAAAAAAAAAACTCATGAGTGGATGGATGAGTTGGCAAGACACTTTTCCAACTTAATCAAAAGTTTTGGTTTCGAATTCTGATAATACAGTTCCGTTAAAACTCATAAAGTAAAATTTTGTCGCCCATTGGATCTGACCAGCTCAAATTTGAATTAGTCGGTGGTTCAATAAGCTTCCGATAC